TTCATTTTAACCCCGGGAATGAAAACCAAGGACATGTTAAGAAAAATACATAACTAACCCACCTCACCAGGAAAATTTACAAAATGAAGTGTAACAATTGCCCAGCCATTTACATAGGTGAAACAGGACGTAACTTGAATATCATGTTAAAAGAATGCCAAAAATACCCCTTCCTAAGTCGATCAATATATGAACAAAAACAACCACACTTGTTTTCCCAACATAATATGATCATACCAAAACATGAACCTGACGTTAACAGAAGAAAAATCAAAGAAGCTTTATTGATAAAATCAAACAATCCCACAATTAACAAATATCCAGGCACATCTATACGTCTTTAATTGTTATTTCCACATTTTTATACAAATATTTCGCTCGCTTTTTCATATTTATTCACATTTTACTTGTTTTTTTTTTCTGTTCAGCCATAAATAAATAATCTGCCAATTCACGCGGATGCATATGCACCTGCATAATCAATCACAATCAGTTACAAAATTTAAATTTCATGTTAGATTATTGAATGTTAAGTTCAATACTAAAACCTTATTTGCCGTTAAAACTTGTGTACTTGAGAATGACTGCACCAGTAATCGAAACGTCGTACCTGTTTTAAAAATTTTCTTCTTTAGTGTGAAAGTTGTGACTTGTAATGAAAAAAAACTAATCAAAGTTTATTGTTGTAATGGTTTCTTCCGTTGGGCGGGGTCTTTTTTATTATTCTGTAAAAATAATTCAAAGTCCACTTCATGTAAGAGTTTTATTTCTGCAACCATTTTCTACAGACTGTATTCATTGATAGATCTAACTGAAAAATAAAACTTGGTAGTCACTTAATTGTCACCTAAATATAAGTCATGATACGAATAATACATAGTCAATGACTTACGCTATCAACCGACTCTTCCTCAACCTCAAGATGTTGTTGGCTTGAGCACCTATGTCGCTTGGTAACTTTGTTATACATTATGAATGAATAATACATTTAACGGTTTTACAGTGTGATCCAATAAAAAGCTTGCAGGTTTTTATTTTAAAACTAGCTCATTTTGATCATTATATATACAAACACACACACTCACATATAGTGTTGTAAAGTATTCTATTGTTGTGCGTGTACTTTGGATTATTTGGTTAAAAATAATGCCAAGTCCAGCTCGCGCAACGATGACGAATTAATTTTTCTTCTATAATGTTTGCTATAAGCTAAGGTCACTTTGACATAAATTATGAGCAGAGGCTTCGTTAGGTGCTTGAAAGATTCGGGGCTCGAGCCCATAGGCGGGGAAATTTTCAGTTTTTCGGTATGATATCGATTACGGTTTTCTATTATGATTTTTCAAGACACCAACTGGGGATTTGAAGCACTGTCAAATAAAATCGGGGCACGGTCCCCCTTGTGCCAGCACCTAGAAACGCCTCTGGTTGTACGCCTACGTTCACAAACAACGTTAGAACAGAAATGTGACGACTAATGGCATGCCAAGTTCACAAATACAAAACTTACAATAAAAATGATAACGATACTTAAGATAGACGACATTGTTTATTTATAACATAATGGGACACAAATAAACGTTTCGGAATTCAACAGATTCCAGTGTTGTTTATCTTTCCTCCGAACACAACAGTTACAAAACTTACTTACAGAATTTCCCTGCTATTCGATCGAGTAACTAAATAAACTTGTTAACTCTCACTACTAACACGGAACTAAATCATCCATTAACTTACTCCTTGAGTTCTTCACAATACTCACTGTTTTACCCATTCTCATATTTATATCTTATCATTGTTTCTACATACTTCACGAAACTTTTCGATCATAACGCCAAGCGTTCTTTAGTAAACATCTAAATTAAAACACTGATAATGTAGTTTACAACAATTTGTTACTCGTATATGCGATGTATGTATTGTAAATATAATTTAGGGTTCTGTTATGTATATGTAATTATTATATAGAGACATCATTTTGTGTATGTATATTTATGTGCGTGTGTGTGTATTTTTATTATTTACTGCAACATAATATGTATATGTATCTAATATATATATATATATAAGCCAGTTGTCTTTTGGTAACTCTCCGTCCTCTGTATTCTGTGTCGCTTAGCAACAAAACTATGACCTGATAATGTTGTCTTAAGTATGTATATAATATTTCGAATGTTCACGAGGACTGTCTTGAATTCCAATTTTTGAAATCGTTTTACGTTTCAATGTATGCCTGTACTTCGCCGTACGTAGACATTCAGGTCCCATACGCAGAATGTTTGAAAGGGGGGGTTCTAATCTGTGAGATCATAAGCCAACACATATTCTGTGAAACACAATCAGCATGCAAAGCATGCTAATGCTACGGGAGAATGACCCCCAGAAAATTTGTAGGAAATTTGATGGTATGAGATTAAATCTGGAAGCAATTTTGCATGAAATATAGCTTAGACAATTGCATGGCTGTTCCCATAAAATCCACAAACATACAATGAAAAGTCAACAAATCATCATTCTGTTGTAACACTGTATGGGGAACTAGATTTAATTTGCCCAAATATGTATGTTTTATTATAGTAGAGTACTGTACAATCTACATGCAGAATAGTTATTAATTGTTAACTTGCATGACTCATTTAAACAACTCTGTACAACAGTAGTACATTAGCTATTTCAATCACTGGCTATCATATTATCATATACGTACATGTATGCACAACTGGAATAACATGTTAGCATGCTCCATAAACAACTTAAATACAGTTTAAATGTTGAAAGCAGTGTCATAATTATATATATTAAAGCTAGAGCACTCAGTCTTTTTTCAGTTTCAATCGGCCGAGAGCAGATGCCGAACGTCCACATGAACATAAACTTAGTGGCAGTATTTTTCTACACCACAAAATTAGGGGTTCTCTTCTCTGCTAAAACTAGACAAACCCAACACTCAAATCATTACAGTCTTAGCTGAACTAGAACTTACACTTAACGGTTTTGAATTTAATAATGAATTCTATATTGAAACAAAAAGCACAGCTATGAGCACCAAGATGACACCAAACTATGCCAACATTTTTATGGGAGACGAAACTGTTGGAAAGTTGCACAGACTGACCAACGTTTTGGAGACGCTACATTAATGAAATTTTTTTCATTTGGGTAGGAGACGAAGATTCATTATTGTTCTTTTATATACATGCTTTCCACAGTTATGTTAAATTTACTCTAGACTACCCCACTACCCAAATAAGTTTCTTAGATGTAAGCCTAACATTTAAAGATGGTGTTCTACATACCGATTTGTACCAAAAACCAACAGATAAACCAAAATATTTACGTAATTAAAGCTGTTACCTTCCACACACCAGACTCATTATTACATTAAATCAAGCACTTAGATTAAAGAAGATATGCTCTGACAGTAAGAACTATGACAAATATATCAATTCTTTGAAACAGACTATGACTGAAAGAGGTTATAAACAAAACAACTTGACAAAGCTAACAATATACCACGTGAATCTGCCTTGAAACAATTACCTAAAACCAACTCTTCTCGTGTTCCACTGGTTATTACCTATCACCCAAAACATAAAACCTACCCCGGATACTAAAGAAACACTTTTACCTCCTTCAACTTAATGATCGACTAAAATCCATTTTTACGGAAATTCCTGTCGTTTCTTTCAGAAAAAATAAAATTTTACATTCACACTTTGTTCACGCTAAAGTAAACTTCAAGTCTACCCTAGGTGGAAGTCAACCTTATAATAGCAAGCGATGCCAGACCTGTAACTTCATGCAGGAAACGGACAAATTTTCCGATAAAGACAACCAAAAGCAATTCAAAATCATCAAATCCATAACCTGCTCTACACAAAAAATTATTTACTTAATCCACTGTCGAAAATGCAACTTCCAATATGTATGTCAAACCAGAACAGCTATACGGGAACGTTTTAATAACCACAAATCAACAATCAAAACAAAGAACTTCCGGTCGCAAAACACTTTAACATGGCTGGACACTCTCTTGAAGACATTAAACTGACAAGTATGGAGACAAATTTTACATCTAACAAAGACAGGACAATTAATGAAGCTTACTGGATAGCTCTGTTAAATACTGTAACGCCAAAGGGCATCAATCTCGATCCCGGGATTGTTGACCATCGCAAGTCTCTGAAAAGATTTTCAAAACGAAATTCATAATTAAACTTACTTTACATTATTAGTAATATTCTTGCTTAAATTTCTCTATATTGGTATGATTTTCTCTATATTGCGTCACAATATTATTTTCTCTATTTCCCACCACCTTTTACCATTATGTTATTATTATTATTTTATCTTTATAGAAATTGGTTAACAATTCTTATAATTATTATTCCACTTAAGTCTTTTATGTACTTTACACACCACTTTGGCACAAATTAAACCTGACACAAAAAACTCTAGGTTATGATTGGCTTGTTCACAAGGCCAACTCATATTGAACATCCAGTTTACGTGACGTCGACATATGTGTCTATATATTTCATTACTCTCATTAAACATAATCCTTTATTCTCTTGAAGAAAAACAGACAACTATTCGAAAGCGTCCGAGTTTTGGGTCTCGTTTGAAAACATTATAATTTTTGTAGGTGATTCTGTGTGCTAACTTCTTAACCAGAATAATGAACAATGAATACACCACACATTATTATTATTGTCTACAAACTACAGTTTCTCAGCGATTTTCTTCTCCTAGCGAGCAAAATGTAAAACTGGAAAGAGCACTTTTTTTGACGGGTATTCAATGCTAAAAATCAGGGGTCATTTTGCAAGTATATACAGCAATTTAAGACTTATTCATAAAATTTTATTAGTGTTTTAGGTATACTTATATTCAAGAATTTGTAACATTTTATCCGTTTGATTAATTTTAAAATTAATGTAAGAAAAACGCAACACAGAACTGTCAGTGCATGAGAATTGGCCTCCAATAGAACCTGTCAATATAACCACGTGATCAGTAGTGCACCACATTCACTTGCAAGTAACATAGTAAGGCTTAAATTGTGAATTTGACAGTATCGAGGGAAGAAGTCGTTCTGTGGTAGTGTTAGTGCGATGGGTACTATTACAAAGTATTTTTAAGTGGAAACATTTTTTCCATTTATTTTATATTATGCTTAATAGATATTGCTATTATATTCGAATGCGTAAGAATATTTTCCCAAGTACACTAATTTAAATTTTATTGTTAGTGATACTGATAATGTCAAATCAAACACCACAAAGACTTCGTAGGACTGGTTCTCCATGTGTATCTCTTAGTCTAAAGCATGGACCTCTGACAGCAACTGTGCCTGTATCATTTATGCGACATAGTATTATTATTAGTACTACTACTGATAGTCCAATAAAGTCGTCAAACATAAATGCTACATATACTAGTCCCTCACATTCACCAACTTCCAATAAAACCACTGATGGATTAAAATTTCAGGCTGGACATTCGTCTGGTTGTAGGTTTGGTTTTTCGGTAGATCGACGCAGTCCTGGATCGCCAGGTTACAAAGGTAGGTAACTCTAGGCTAATACTATAAATTAGTGTGTAGTTGTATTATAACTTGTACTTTTTGTAGTACTGCAGTACAAATATATACTTAGCGTAACTTAAATTACATTGTCATTTTTATGACGTAATTGGCTAATAAGTGCTACTAGTAGTATTACTATTAGGCAAGCATGGGTTTAGGTTGTAACTATATATATATATATATTAACTTAATGAAGTACAAATTGAATATCTTCATTGCCCTCTATAACTTATAAAGTGCAAGACAAGTTTAAATTGAAATATTGTATTCAGTTTTGATCATCTTAATTAAGGAAGGATGCTGAGGTGTTGGAGAGGGTTCACATTCAAAAGAATCACAGAAGAGCTACCAAGAAGATTTCAGGTTTGGAAAAGCTATTATATAGGAATATCCTTAAATCTTTGGCAAGTTTTTGCTGAAAAGGATGGGAGATTTGAGATTTTAAGATTGCTAAAGGTTTGCAATCCATATGACGTTTTCATGCTAGTCACAAATTGAACTGTTGACCTTAGATCACACAATTATATCTGGTGATTTTAAGCATATAAATGGGCAGAGGAAGAGAAACCCAAAGTGATTTCTTTAGTAATGGCAAACAATACCATGCTGTTACAGGTGTGTGGGAAATGTGGCATTTGGGAGGTACTTCATCAGATATTAGTGGTACAAGTCTCCCTGATTGTGCTTTCACCCAGAGTGGGTGCAAGGCTCATAGATTTCACTGCTATTGATGGAGGTCACCTTCCTGGAGTTGGGTTGGTTCAGAATGCAGCTCTAAGTGGATGGTAAACTCCACCTAAGGCTAAATAATGCCATGAGACTGATAGCAAATAAGTACAGTGAAGGAAAGTTGAAAACAACCTTGAAGAGAAAAAAATTCATGAAACTGTTTAGAACTGTTGGGCCTTTGAAAGCTGATGTAAGGGAATTAAGCCAGTAAATGGGAAAGACATTAAATTTTAGACCTGTCCAGGCTTGAGCAATGACTTCCTCCTAAAAAATAGGGAAGATCAAACCTAATTGGCTTACTAAAGACCTAAAGAAAAAAAAAATTGCGGATAAATGCCATAAATTTAAGAAGTTTAACGTGACGGATCAGTTGGGAGACTTACAGAAATATAGGAAGGCTAAAGATTTGGTTAAAAAAAATCAAGAAATCTAAAAGGGCTTATGTGAAATGCTGGCTGATAATGTTTGAGCTAACAGAAAGAATTATCTTTAAGTATATTAAAGATAAGCAAAATGTCAGAATGGAGATTTGACCCTTAGTCAAGGTTTGGATGAAGAGCATGAGAGGGTTAGCTTTTAAATTATTTATTGTCTTCTGTTTATACAGTAGAAGGTACTAGCAATATTCTTGACCCAGAACATTATATGGGAAGTATTGGAATTGACCTGAATTGAGTGGATATTAACCTTTTGATGGTAAGTAGAAAGATTCAGAATAAAGCATCAGGGGCAGACAAAGTTTTCCTAGAGTTTAAAGATAAATGATCAGACATACAAGTCTGTCTCTTTCATTTTTGGTAGCTCAGTATAAAATGGGCAGGTGCCTGAGGATTGGAGAATTACTTACCTTATTCCTATTTTGAAAGAAGTTGATAAAAGTTGCCCTAGAAATTATAGGCCTGTTAGTCTTACTTCTGTAGTAGGTATAATTCTAGAGGTTGACAAAACAAGCTTTACAAAATTGTTTAGTGAAATATTATAAATGAAAGCCAACATGGATTCACAAAAGGGTAATTTTGTCTCACTAAGCTGTTATCTTTTTTTTCAAGAATGTTACTTGCTGTCTGGACAATGGTAAGTGTGTGGATTTGGTCTACTTATATTTTCAAAAGCTTTTGATAAGGTTTTGTACAGAAGATTACCTAAGAAAATTACATCATTATGAATTGTGAAAAGACTAATTAGGTTGTATGGTGGTTGGATGAGAGAAAGTAAAAGGCTGTTATTAATGGAGTCTAGTCAAACTGGACTCTTGCTACTAGTAGAGTGCCTTAGGAGTCCATGTTTGGGCATTTTCCATTAGTGATATTGATAGGGGCATAAGTTGTAAATTAGTAAAGTTTGCTAATTACATTAAACATTTTGGTATTTCTAGCTGTATTGAGGATGTTGTGTTACTACAAAATGACTTGAATCAATCGATAAGTTAGACAAATATTTAGCAAATGACCTTTAATTATAAGCGCAAGGTATTGCATATGGGTTATCATAATTTATATCATGTTAAATTTAGATGGGAACCCACTCAGTATCATGATTGAAAAAATGATCTTGTTATAGTGGTAGATAAGTCACTGAAGCCATTGAGGCAATACTCTGTTGCTAGTAGTAAAGCTACTTGAAGTTTAAGGTGTGTTTATAGACATATTTAATCTCAACAAGCTGTAGTTAATTCTTTATATAAAAAACACCCCACCCTCTTTTTTAAAAAGTGTATCACTATTAAATAACTTATAACTTGGAATCTTAAAATAATTACTCAAAATCTAACCAAGTGTTAAAACTTCAATCATTTCATGGTTTTACATTTTTAACTATAGTGCTGAACTCATTCAGTTTGTTTGTAATGCTCTTAGCATTAGAAAAATAACAGTAAAAATTATACTTGACTTTACTATGTTTATCTTTATATTTGACAGATATATGTTTAAACTATTAACACACTAATTAATCTCCTTTTCTACAGTCTTCTTGTTGCTCTAACTGTCATATCCATTTGTTTGTTTCCAAATTTTCAAACTTATTTCCCACATTACAAGTTTAAACTATCTTTAACAAATATACTTAAACATCTACTTGGCCAACTTAAATGAAGCCCATCTCTGGCATGTAATTGATCCTTACCCTGAAAAATATTACTTTCCATAGGAACTGCCCATCTTACTTGTTATGGCAAAATATGTACAAGTACAAAATATTAATTTGTGGAAATCTTATAGCTCAAACAGAACACATTTTTAAGTCAAAAACTGAGTTATTCATGTACTATAATGGGGCTCACATCCCATTCATATTACACTTTTGTAATATAATGTCACACAATACCACTGTATTTAGAATAAACCTGTTTTTTGTGTTGCTTCTCTAAAAGATTAGCTAAAGATTTTGTCTGTGTAGTTGATATGTTTAACTGGTATATTTTGTATGTTAATTTAATCATGAACATGTACCAGAAGCCCTTGGACCATAGTTTGATGTTCAAGGTTATTAATATGCAGTGATATGTTAAGACATATTTTATGATTATCAAACTTTTTATACATGTGAGAACTGATAATTTTTGCTGAAAATAGTTAACACCTATTAAATGTTACTGTAGTTTTATGTTTGTACAACTGGTACCCTGCATGTACATGTTTATACATGTACTATGTATATGTTTACATATATACATATTTATAACAGCTGTGTTAAGCTTAGGTATCACTATCTGTAATTCTGTGGGTAGTGAGTTGCATAGAACCATTGAGTTTATTTTATATTGATTGATGACATTCTAGAAATTGAAATTTTAGTATCCCTTTGTCTGTTTTATCATTCCTTTGTGCAGTATCTTATAAAAAAAATATTTCTATAAATTAATATACACGTTAACATTTTTCATAGAAAGCTAAGGAATAGCCCTTGAGAACTAGTCATTCATTATAAACCATGTATTGCTATAGTTCATGAAACCTATTCTGCACAATCAGTAATGTCATTGATTTCAACAAACATGAAGTAAAGATTTCACTCCAGTCATTTTATGTTGTGTTTATTTTTTACCGTATTGAATATCACAATTGTAAGTAGAGGTTTTTCAAATGTCTTTTATATGTCTGTTTGCACACTTGTTGTATTGACATGTTTAGTTTTACTTTAGGCATTATTGATTACAAGATTGCTATTTAACTATTTCTGTGCTTTACATTGCAGATTTAATAAATATTTCAGATGAGAAAAGGTTTCAAACACGGATCTCTACTTTTAGATGCCTTTCTAATCCTTTTGACATTTTTTAACCAGCTCTTCACTATCTTACAGGGCTAGATTTTAACGGTCGTCCGAGACGACTAAAAACTTCCTCGGACGACCAACTTAAACCCCCATGTTGTCCGAAGGACGACTAGCGCTCTGGAACAGACCCTTTCTCTAAACAACATAGCAATCTACTGTATACACGTAATGTTGACTCCGAACCTCGACCAAAATCATCGATATATGCCCTAACTACAAACTCGAAAATTTGAACTCCCACAAAAATATCTTTTGATCCTTTACTTTGTCAAAAGAGATTGTACTTTGTACAAAAGAAATGTTGGTACAATCCACCAAAAAGGGCTGAAAACGTTAGGAAAAGTTCGCTTTTGTGACTGGCTAATAATGCCGTCCTACTAACCCAACTGTTTATCGTGGACAAGGTACACGTAAATTTTGTATGGAGAACAACTGAGCGTGAATGGCTGTGTGTGGTAACACAGTACAGTGTATACAGCTCAGTTAGGTACATTACGACTTCTTTTTTTTTTTTTTCTCAACAAGTTACAGATTTTACTGTACAAATTATTTATTTTAAAAAGGGCATATTTCGATCACTGGTGCGATCTTTCTCAGGTATACAAGTTTTAATGATATAAAATGTTTAGTATTTAAATCAATATTCAATCAATGTAAAAAAAATTGTAAATAAATAAATAAATATAAGTCAAGTCAAAACGAAACTTTTACCACTCATTTTATTGCGCGATGTTGTATCCCTATACGTGGGCCGGAATTCGCAACGAAAACGAACGCCGGTAACACGGATATTTAGTGAGATTAATTTCTAGTATAGATGCTTACGATGATAAATTTAACATGGCTGTCTTACAGTTAAACCTTCGGTCGGGACTAAAACGACCAAACTTACAAAATCAAACGAAGTATTTTCATCGTTAATCATCACAGTTGAAACACTGACCCCTTTCTATTACGCACGTATAGACCTAAGG